AGGTAGTGAGTAATTGAACTGCAGTGAGGAAGTATTGTTGAAGTTAACGTTTGTTGTTAAAACGTTTGTAAAAGAGCGACTGATGAAAATAAGTGTATCGGTAAAGTTATATTCAGAAAGAATAAACCAGTTTTATTAAGTAAGGACTTGTGTCGCTAAAGTTTCGTCGGAACGAAGTTATGGAAAATCAATTAACAAACGGAGACGTAACAATACATTAAAAACTACTTGTCCTAGAGAAACTAAGATCTGCTTGATACACATCAAAAATCATAAATTTTATTATGAGTGGACTAGGTATAGTATATATATATATCAAATACCTAAATCACCTTTCTCACAATGTAGCTTTTTTTACTTCTCATCTTTCTCTATCAACAATGAGTTTCATGATTTGAATGAAATGTGTCAATGTATAGGAGACTGCAGGGATTAATGAACACCATCTAGAAAAGATAAAGTTCCAGTAGCTTCATTTACAGATAGGTTTAATATGCTGACTAAGAATGAAGGAAAGCATATAATACAGCTTAAGAAACACCTCATATTATGTCCAAACTTTCCTTACCAAATTGTATGGCTCAATGTACATGTGGTGATGTTTAATTCTGTATGATATAATGTTTAGGATATAATCATTTTAACCCTCTCTATACAGGCTTGGTCATTTTGACCAACCTCGCAACCACCACGTAACCATGAAACTATAAATAGTATAACTTTTAATGTAGTACGTGTATCTTTTAGTAAACAAGCAAGTCTTTTGTACACAAAAATCAATTTTTTAATTAATTATTTTTACTAAGTTTTGTCTGTGAATTTATTAAGTCAGAGTGTGACTCAGACTCTGATTAGTCTGAGTGCAAAATGATTTTCGTGTTAAGATTAATACTTTCTTCACCTTAAGAATTTTCTAAATGAGTATCAAGTTTTTCAATCAAACTATATATCTATTATTTTCTCTGCTATAACACTATGTTGGTTCAGTTTATTTGACTAACCTTGTAACCACCATGAAAAAAAAAAGACAAAATAAGTTTAAATTACTCTCTTTTTTTTTCTCTAGAATCACTACAGATTGCAAGAAAATGTAACAATTATTTATCCTAAGTAATGAACAGTAATGAATAAAATAACTCGTGTGCAGTTCATTTACATATCTTGTGAGAAATTTTATTTAAATTTTTTTCCATTTATCTTTTATTGTCTAACCTAATAAGGTTCTAATTTTTACATTTTAGTTACTTTATAACAATAAGTGAAAATATACATATTCATAAAAAAACAAGAAATGTAGTATTTATATGTTGGTCTTGTACTTTTGTTTTGCAATTGAAGTCTTAATGAAAGTTAATCCTAATTTTTGGAGGGTTATACTTAGTACTCTACTCAGTTTTTTTATTTAGAACACAAAATAATAACATGCACAAGGCATACAAGATCCTATAACTATTATAATTTAACTAGCTTTCTGATTGACATATGAGTGTATCAAAATAATTCCCTTAGATGGTCAAGCTGAACTCAGCAATAGCAACTTAGAATCTGTATGCTGAACAATTCAAAAGCTGTCATGAGAATAAGCTAGAATTATTTATAAATCAGTAAATTAAAATATCTTTCTTTATGTTATAAATGATATCAAATGTCAGAGAATTATTGACATTTGTTTAAAGACAACATGTGATAGGAGGATGTGGGTTCAGCTTTGTAATTTATGAAGATGACTGGATGCTATAAAATCAGATTATGACTGTGCAATATCTATACCATAAGTTTGTAATTTGTATTAAAACACGGATGCTCAAATAGGGCTGAAAAGAATAAACTCAGAGAGGATAAGTGTAACATGATATAAGGAATTGAATATTGAGAATTTATTCAAATATATCATTTTGAAATTGAGAAATTAAAATTTATATAATATTAGAATTTCATTTATTAACTTAATTTTGATGCCAAGTTTATTGACATAAATAAATAATAAAGTAGTTTAATTAAATTTTAAATACAACTCTATAAAAAAGGGTGTGACATGCACTTTTACTTACCCATACAGGTTTTTAAATATTTAACCTGTATTACTTATGTACATTTTCATTCATATGCAAAAGGTTGAGCTAAGAACTGTCACATATATATATATATTACTATAAAAGCTTTTCAATTAGAATGAAACAATATACAATCATATAATTACATTAAGGTGTTATGACTGTGTTACATGGATTTGGGTACAGGTATAGATCTGACGTATCTGGATTTTCAGAAAGCATTAGAAAAGCTTACACTTATTAAAACAAATTATCTCTGTAGGTGTGGGGGATATTTTTGCTCACTGGATAGAAAATTGACTGGATGTAAGAAGGCAGAGAGTTATTATAAATGTAGTTTATTCAAAATGGATTTCACACCTATGGTACCTCAAGATTCATGGTAAGGACCTTTGCTATTTTTGATTTATTTCAATGACATAAATGAAGAAATGATCAATAGATTACTTATATTTTCTTATTATTTTAACATTTTGGATGTTGCTGGTTGTGAGGAGAATGCTGTTGCTTTACAAAAAGAATTAAATTATTTGATGAATTGGGTGAATAAATTGCAGATGGCTTTTAATTATAATAAATGGAAAGAAATGTATGTAGAACACCATACTTTGATTTATAATTTTGATGCGAATAACCTTAACAGTGTTGTGGAAGAAAAAGATCTTGGTATTCTGGCTGATCAGTTTCTTAAGCCATTCAAACAGTGTGTTATTACTAGTGGTAGAGCAAATACAGAAATGTTGAAAACAGATCTAAAGAGGTTATAATTTCATTGTAAAAGGTCAGTGTTTAGGCTAAGTTTGGAATACTGTGTTCATTATTGATTCCTTACTTTAGGAAGGACATCGAATTGTTGGAATTGGTTCAAAGAAGAGCTACTAGGGTGTTACCCAGGAAAGTTGACATATGAGTACAGTTTCAAATCTTTGAACTTGTTTTCTCTTTAAAAGGAATTATAGGAGATCTAATTAAGGTGTTTAAAATTGTTAAGGGAACTGGTAGTGTTGACGCATCTTCTTTTTTTCTTACTTAATGGTGAGAATGGTAGGATAAGGGGACACACAAATTTTGACAGGGTAGGAGTCATCTTCAGCTAAGATAATTTTATTCTTCAAACAGGATGGTTGGCCTTTGGAATGGGTTGCCTTCAGATGTGGTGAATGCAGTAAATTAAAGGGAGTTTAAGGAAAGGCTTGATAAATATTTGAATAATAAGAGCTAGTTTTGAGTTATTTTTATTTTAAAGTTTAGTTTGGTGGACTAATAGGTCCATTGTTGCCTGTAAATTACATGTTACATATGTAATTTCCATCAGTGTAACTGAAGTTTGGTTTGAAATAAAACTCCACAGAATTAGTATTTTAGTCTAGTTGGAAAAAGAGATCTCCAGATTAACTTACAAGTGTATGTGTACAGTACATATGCATATGACAAATAATTTCCGACCATTCTTTATTAATACAAAAGAGTTTACCACTGTAGGTTATATGCAATGCATATGTGTACACAGAAGAAACCCTATTAAAACAAGTCTTTTGAGTTGAGCATATATGATGCACTTCTAGTAAACATATTTAATGTAGCAGTCATTAGATTAACAACAACAACAAACAAAAAACTTTGACTGTTGAAATAAAATTTTTAATCAATAAATTTTGAATTTGATTCTTGTGATAGTTATGATAAATATTACCAAGTGTCCCCTTGAACAAAACAAAGTGAAATGATTTATAACAAAATCACAAACATGCTCAACAGAGTGATAAACTCCTACCTTAATTTCTGTGCTGAAAAGAACATGCAAAGTAATGTTTTGTATAAATTGTGATTATCTGTATCAGAGCAAAATTCCAATCCAATTGATATGTATGTATGTATGTATGTATGAGCAAAGTTGAACTTATTCTGCATTGGTGGTATAGTCAGCATTAACAACTGAAACACAACTGAGATGTTCAATTTTATGAATTGATGAAAGTTTACAATTGAAGTGTGTCAAAGGAATGTTAATCAGGGGGAATATAATTAGAGGATAATTTTGGTTATGAAATAATTTGACTGACTAACCTGATCTCTTAACTAGTTGTTTTGTTTGTATGCTTAATCATCTGAAGTCAAATACAGCGTACGAAGCAATGGCACCATATTACCATGCTTACCAAACTTTTAACACAATTACAAACTAATCAGATATTTATATTACAAAATACAGTATACGATAACATATATAAACAATGTAAATTTTTCTGCTGACAAGCCTTCTGTGGCTAAATTTCTCACCTGGATCTTCAGTCTCCTTGCTTTCTGGTTATCAGATGGTCCTATCCCAAACCTTCCATTTTTCCTAATACTGTAGGTTTTTTACATCCCTTGTTCTTACCATGCTCATGCATTCCTTCCAGATATATCAATCTCTCAGGTGTCCTGCCCTTCCTGATTGGAACATGAATGTGGTCCTCCATGCCTTTAATTTACCTCCATTTGTACTACTTTCCTCATGTTCCTTGTTTCATCTGTCCCTTAAAACATATTTCCTTCTTCTCTTAGCCTGTAGACATTGAGGGTCAGATTTGTTTGCCATTGATATTTCACATACCCTTTATCACCCTACCTATCCTCTCCTATGACCTAATCGTTCCTTTCTCCCTAAGACCTCGGCAACTCAGGAGGGTTGTTTATCCTTTTCTTTTATTTCCCTTCCTTCTGTATCCCATCTTTACCCTCAACCGGATCCAGATTGGCTTCTGTGTCTGGTCAGGTCCCTTTGTTGTTATGTAGCATTTACAGCTACCTTTTGGTGGGAATGTGCAACTGACTTTTTATCCCATGGCAATCTTCCTCCCTTAGTGATCTTTCACCTTCTACCCTTACTAATCGGGTCTGCCGTTTTGTCTGTTTGGCCTACTCTTCCCTACTACCTTCTTCTCGTACCTTGTCCCAGGTCTCCTCCCATCAGATCCGACATCTCACTTTTTCCCTCACTTCTTGTCTTCATCCTCCAATGGAGGAGATTCTACAGTCTGATATGTGGACCATTCCCTGTACATTAATCTCCTGTTAACTTTATCATGTTGCACTTTCCTCTTCATTGGGGTTTTGTCTACTACCTGTGGCCATTCTCCAGACTTTGATATGACTTTAACTGGTAAGTTTTATTCATTTTTATTTTCAGGGGCCTTTATCTCCATTTTGATTAGATGTATCCTGCTCTGTAGCGAGTGGTTCCTGACCAGGTATTCTATAACTCTAAATTTGCACTGTACAGCCACATTGACAAGCTTTATTTTCCATGGCTTCACATGCTCGCTGTGGAGATGGGGTGTTCCACAACAGCTCTTGCTGGTGACTCACCTTGCGATATTCTGCTTCATAAACATGCCCATCGTGGACCATACCATCCATGGACTGCATGGATAAAGCAGAAGGGGATTGCTGCCCATCCCAGCCATGCCTAGAGTGAATAACTTGGTATGGTCTGCTTTTCAAAATAACATTTCATGGTCACCCATTGCACTGTTTCTGGTGATGACATTCCTCTAGACTCTCCACCTCATTGTCACCCTCCTTTCCTCGAGTGGAGTATGGGAGTCCTTACCACTTTCCAGTTCTAAGCTGCTGGGGTGGTTGACCATGGAAGCACCCTCCTGAATTAGTTCCACAGAGAAAGGGCTAGAACCATCACCTAGCTGGATGACATGGCAGCAACTCATTAATGTTGTGAAGCAGACACTAAAATCATTGCATATCCCATTGCCTTATTAGAGTTAACAATTTCAGGTAATAGAACTGTAAAACATACAGTGTGACAATTGAGTATGAAACATGCAGTGTTACAACTGTTTTATCTGAATAGTCATAATAGCTGTAGCGTTCAAGATGTTCAAAATTGTTTATATTGGTATCTAATCGTATGGCCTATATATCAACAGGTACAAGTACTTAAACAGTGGCACAGCCTTTGGTGTCAACAGGTACAGATGCTATACAGTGGCAAAGCCTCTACTGCCATAAGGTAAAAGTGCTTATACAGTGGCACAGCCTCTAGTGGCAACAGGTACATGTGCTTATATGGTGGCACAGACTCTACAGCCAACAGGAACAGGTTCTTATATGGTGGCACAGACTCTACAGCCAACAGGTACAGGTTCTTATATGGTGGCACAGCATCTACTGCCAGTGGGTACTGGTGCTTATGTGGTGGCATAATCTCTAGTGCCAACAGGTACATGTGCTTATATGGTGGTACAGTCTCTAGTGCCAACAGGTACATGTGTTTATATTATGGCACAGGCTCTAGTGCCAATAGGTATAGATGCTTATGTAGTGACATAGCCTCTATTGCCAACAGGTACAGGTACTTATATGGTGATATAGCCTCTAGTGTCAAGAGGTAAGGTACACATATGGTAGCACAGCATCTAGTGTCAACAACTAAGGTACATATACAGTGGCACAGTGTCTAATATCAACACAGAAGTACTTGTGTCTGTTGACACAGAATTGTGTCACTGTTCAAGCACTTGTACCTGTTGACACAGGGGCCATGTGGTAAAATATTTACCAATATTAACAATTACCTTGTCATGAATATAGCACTAAGTTTCATACTCAATTGACACAACATGTTTTATAGTTGAATTATAGTTGAAATATTAATGATTATTTTCAAACTGAGTTACTGTTAAAAATAATTACGGTAAAGTTGATTGAAATATGCAGAATTTGATGTCTTTGCCTTCTTGAATACTTCACAGTATTACCAACGATTTTAAGCAGATTTGCTATTACAATCATTATAGTAAGGTTTGAACTCAATTGACAATTTTGAATCTTAAGTCTTTGCTTCAGCTCCTTTTTTTAAAAAAAACCAAAGTGAAAGCACCAAAACATTCATAAATAACTCTTATTTTAGTCCATGTTTTTTACTTGAAAATTATCATTGCCTGCTTAGAAAAAAAACTTACTGCTTCTCAGTTCTGACACCTGCTTCTAAATTCCATGCAATGGTCACTAGACTAATTTTGAGTATAACTCTAATAACACAAACTCAGTGAAACTTCATTTTAAATAACAAAGAGTTTGCGCTATTTATTATACTAATTTTGGTATTTGTTAGATATAAACACCTGTTTAAGTTTAATGTAAGTGTTAAATTTAGTTATGTTTAGAGCTGTTGCTATGGTAGGGCATATAGGATTTTAGGTTCTATCTACAGAAATACTGAATACAAGTCTAAAGAGGTTATAATTTCATTGTATAGGTCACTGGTTAGGCCAGATTTGGAGTACTATGTTCAGTCTTGGACTCCTTACCTTAGGAAAGCCATTGCATTGTTGGAAAGGGTTCAGAGAAGGGTTACTAGAATGGTGCCTGGGATGAATGGGTTTTCATACGAGGAGAAGTTGAAATCTCTCAAATTGTTTTCTCTTGAAAAATGAAGAGTTAGAGAGGATCTTATTGAGGTGTTTAGGCTTATAAAGGGTAGTGTTGGTGCATCATCTTTTTTCCTACTTAAGAAAGAATAGTAGAACTAGGGGACACAAGTATAAATTTTTCCGAGACAGTTTTATTTTTGTAACAGGGTGGTTTGCCTTTGGAATGGGTTGCCTTCGGGTGTTGTGGAGGCAGTAAATTTGAGTGAGTTTGAGAGGATGCTTGATAAGTATATGAATGATAAGGGCTGGCTTTAAGATTTTTTAAAATTTATTTATTAATAATTTTAGTTTTGTTTAGAGGATGGATCAGCCATAATGGACCAATAGGTCCCAAAACATTATGTTATGATAGTTTATCGCAGATTTGTTTACATGAATGTCTACGAATCATACGTTGTGTAGTTCCATTATTGTAAGTTGATGCTTGCTGTATTACTGCGACCTTTCTAGAACCTTCTAATTTTTTCTCGTCGTTTTGATAGAGTATTATTAAGTCATAATATCTCATAGTATGTGGAAAGTTCTAGGCCACAGTTGGGCTGCTTATAAAAGACACGTCTAACTGTAGTTCAAGTTAGACAAAGTTAGTGGGAGATATGGTCAAATAGATCTAGACTGTGTGTTTGTGCATTTAGACAAAGAGTGTATAGTAGCACTTTTTAATGTGAAATTATTGCAATTGTATTGTAAAAACTGACTAGATAAAAATAATTTGTCTTGTCAATTATGTTCTAAAGTAATTGAAAAAAATCTTACGAAAATTATTTAAAGCTCTGGATACAACTGTGGTATCCAACACTTGTAAGTGAAATTAACCCCGATTTTATTTTAACAACAGAGCAGAGGAGAATAATTCATTTTGTCAATTGTGTTCTAAAGCAAGTGAACCAGCCTGTGCAGACTTTGACAAAAAGATACCATTAGTTAAAGGTCTGGACATAACTCTGTAACGAACATTTGTATATATACGTTTGATTTGTTTTATTATATCATTTTGAAATAAGTGGATTGTGTGCTGTTTGTTGTTGAAATTTATCACCAACAGGTCACAGACACCTACTATGAAGAATTCTGCCCATCCATACATATAATAACCTGACAATATTACTATTACTAGTGAAAAACTAATATTGTATATTTTAGGCCTAATTAAATTTTAAATGGTATAATGTTTATTTAGGTTTCCTTGACTTGAGTAAACCCAATGTACAGGAAAAAGATGAGCTTAACTTCACAAGTTTCTTAAATCTTAATACAAGAAATAAGATTAACAACGTTTGGTATTGATTTTCAAGGCAGGGTTGTTTTGTTTTACGTATATACAATTACAAGACGATATCAGAGGGTCGTTCATAGTTTTCACACGAAGTTAAGTCTGCTTTATTTATAGTTGTTTAAATGATTTAAAAGTAGAAAAACGTGTTGGGTAGGATAATAATATTTGAAGTGTAATTTGTATTATGTTGTTATTTTGTAAAATTGTTCTATTTAATAGGTCATTAGAAATTTACAATACTCTACAGTGTTTCCTTTTATAACAATATCTATGTAATGACTGAGTCAGTTCTGGGAATGTCTGTAAGTTTTAATTTGTAAGTGTAAATATCATAGCAAAAACTTTGAATTTCTTGTTATTATTATTTAAAAGGAGTTAAAAATGAACTATTCTGAAACTCCACAACGTTTGAAATTCTAAACTTCAAATATAAAGTTTAACTAACTTAAACGCATATTAAGGATCAAATTATTGTATTTTTAAACAGCCAACCTAGAAAGTGTTTTCCATCGTAGTATTTACACGCTTCACAGTTTGCTCCTCCAGAAGAAAGGTCCACCTTCAGGAAGCGCTCCGGTTATAGGGTCTTTATCATCTTACACTTCAGATAATATATTTTAATACCACATGATGGCGCTAATTATTAGAACGTTTGCTGTGAAGGTCGAACAGGACATGTTCCGTTAGATGATTGTACGACAGTAGCTAGGCCAAGTACAAGGAAATCGTAAGGTAAAAGAAAGCAGATATGTTTAAGATTATATATATATATATAAAATGTTAGCAATCCTAATGCTAGTGTAGTATTTTTGTTAAAATGAAAAACACACAAGACTGCCTTTTGTCGGCATAATAATATCAACGATAGTAATCTAACTTTTAAGATCACGGTACATTAAATTAAAATTAATAAAAAAAAGTTTTTAAAATTTAGTTTTTCTGTCCGTTAAAATTAACCAAATGTTTTCTTACGTTTCATTGTTGTTGCAATAACGTTAGTAATAAGTGGCTTGTATAACTGAAGTTAAAATAATGTTGGATCTCGTAAGTTACAAATTGAATTCCAAATTTTTAAATAATTATATATGTATGAGGTAAGAACTTTATTTTATTTTATGAGGTTTTGTGTGCGATTAATTTTTAAGCACATTACTGGCTTTTGACCTTGCATATGTTAAAATGTGTGTGTATATATATATATATAATATTTTCTTATTTGACGTGTATAGGTTAAACCATGTCTAACCCAGCTCCTATACCAGCTGCATCTGTAGAGGATAAACATTTGAGTAGTAAGGAGGGCACCTCTGCAATGAAAGGAGGACAGACAGGAAAAGCCATTGCAGTTTTTACAAGTGGTGGCGATTCACAAGGTTTGAAAACACATTAGTTTTCTCTCATTGTATACACAATATTAAAAGAAATGTAATGAAAATTTCCAAAATTACAGCAAATTAATTACATAGAATGTTTATTTGCTTTGTATAATAAGACATACTTTCAAGTTGATGGTGATTCCCAAAATAGAACAAGATAAATATAAAGATTTGAGGTGCTCTGAAACACAAAAGAATTGGTAATATAGTGAAAAACACAGTTTATTTTTCTAACTTAAAGTAAGTATTACCAATTAAATTCAGTATTAATACACTAAATTTTAGCAGACTAATTATAAAAGACAAGTAAATTTGGTAATTAATGGGAAAATTATTAGTTTAATCAGAGCATTTTGCTATTCTTTTTCTATGATGTTTTAATGTATCCTTCCATATGAAACTATGGGTTCACAAGTATCTTTGTCATAATGTTGTGGGACTTTATCAAGTGTTACTGTAAAGTAGATAATATTCCTTAAAATATGTTTACTATAATTGTATGCTTATAAACAGTATAGCATTAATAAGTTATGTTTTCTATTGCATATATTGAACATAATTAACAAAAAATAAGTTGTTATACTAATCTTTCATTAGTGGTAAATGAATACACAAGACTAACAAATAACCAAAATTTAACATTGTTCGTTGAAGTTTCTATGCAATATTGGTATAATAAACACTTATTGGACAAATAACACATTTTGTTGTCTCACAGTTAATTTCTTCAAATATATAATGTAAGGTAATTATCACTACATTTATTTTCATTTAACAAAGACACTGTTATTCTAATTTCATAGGAGCCACAAAAGAAGAAACCATTTAAGAATGTCGCTAATATTATATATACCTTATGAATAAATTTAATATAATATGTTGTATTAGATGCAAATTTAGTGAACTGATTTGTAAAAGTGGTTCTACTGAAAGTCAGCTTTAAATGTCACTATAAATATAATTAGATAACATTCAACATTTAGAATGATAGTACCCAGAGTCATTACAGTTAAAAAATTTGTCTTATATCCAGTCTTAATAACTTGTGCTGAGTTACAAGGATTTATATTTAGTTAAAACAAACATGATAGAATTTTTTCATTTATTTTTATGGATCATCTATTTATCACGATAGTTGGGTGTACGTTTAGGCTCAGGAAGTTTTATCAAGTTTGTGCAAATGTATTTACTTATCTTGAATATAGGATGATCACTTGAAACAAAACAGCCAGTTAAATTCTAATAAAAAACAAAATAAGGAAGAATATGGAAACTTAGTTCACAGTGTTTCTTCTGATTCATAACTCCTCTAATGAATGTGTACATTAGTGTAGATTCTTATTTCATAAGAGAAGAAAATAAACATTAAATTATTTGTAATCCACACCTTGTTTGGGAAATTGGATGTAAGCCTTTCATTGAAATCGTTCTCCTTGTGAAAGAGGAAGAAAAGTCATAAATGATGATCAAAAGTTTGTTTTTGTACAACAATACTGATTGGATTAAAACTATGTGAGTGTCCAAATTTTCATACTTTATTGTACTTTTTCTGAAATGGGCTTACATTACATGTAGCTTTATGTATCCTTGTATATTTATTACTATATATAAATATTTAGTAGTAATTACATTACACTCTGTTGGTAATAACATGTTTTGTTATGAATGGAATAAGTATTAACTTTTATGATACTGTTTAAGACATTTTAACAACATTCAAATTGTGTAGTTATGTGTTTTCTTTAAAAGGAGCATGGAAGCTATGGGAACTTGCTAATCAAGTTTAAATATGGCTCTAAATACATGACACATGATAAAAATAAAGTTATTATTTAAACTAAGCAAAACATAAAATCTGTATGTATACAGTTATTTTACATAAAAAAGGATGATTTTTTTCCTGTATGATATACAAAATGTGAGAACATTTTCCAAGTAAATAATCAATGAATCTCTTTCATTCTTCTATAAATATTTATAGGAAATGAATTGTTTTAGAGAAACAGTGTTTTTATTTCTTGAATACTCTTTGAGAAGCTCAAGGTTATTCAGATTTCCTTAAAATGATTTGGCAGGAAAATGTTCTGAGCAAAGCAACTTACACTGTTATTTCTCAGTTTTAACTTCAGGAACTAAAATAGAAAACTTGGGTTTCAGCTTGCAAAGTGTGCTGCAGTGATAGAAGCAGTAGATGTTAACTAAATATCTGGGTTCACCATCCTGGCTGTAAGCCAACATCCCATCTGTGACTTTAGTTGTCTAAGAGAGACAATAGCAATGTGTCAAATGACATATATATATATATATATATATATCATATGTACATAAGCTTCATGGGCATGATTGGTGACCAAGATTTGGGCCTGTCTTCCACTCTTAAGTTATTGATCGAATTGTTTATAATAATAGCATGAGATCAGACAGGAAATGTTAAAAACAATGCATACTAGTATCATAAATCACAAATCATAAGGCAAACTAATTCATGATTTATTATTTCTATAAATAAAAACAATAATTTCTTAAGAGCAAATTTGAAGTTACATTTTCAAAACTTGTGGTCCATATCTTTTTTATTAAGACTTTGAATGTTTCCACCAGGAATCACAATTTTTATTATGTTTGTCTGTGTATTTACACTTCACCTGCCTTAATATAAGAGAATACATATTCCATGAAATTTGCAATATTTTTAAAAGAAAAACTGATTAGATCTTGTTACCATATCTTCAAATATTATATCTATCTCTTAGCACTAAAGAAGAAATGCAACATTTGAAGCTTCGTGTACCATGCCTATTATATTTGGCCAGTGTAGTTAATACTATTTAGTTTTAAAGTATTTAATGTTGTATATGAAATTATCTATTACTATAAATAATTAGAATATAAATAATTCAATTTATATGCAAATTACACATACACATGTAAAGTTAAGTTATTTAATATATGACAAGTTCTATCAAGATGTCCATGTGTGCATGTGGCATCCTTCTTCCTCCACCTCTGCCTGTTTTACCTCTGTTCACTAGTGCCTCTCTGTCCAGGTGGAGTATGGTTCTGGAAACTTGCACCCTTTCTGACATCTGGTCTGCAGAAGAGCAGTCTCTCCATAACAAGATCTGCAAGATGTTTGCTGCTCAGTGAGCTTGTCATCACTTCCTGTCTCATATGTCTGATCATCTTTTAAAGATCAGTTCAAACAACTCCATTGTCATTTCATACATCAACAGATGCTTGGTCTTGGAACCTCTGTTTTCTTATTCTAGGCTTTCTCTTTTAGGTTATTATTAGCCTGTCATGACTTAGGAGCTACGAGCCTAGTGGCAGGTTGACTGTATCACCTAGACCAGATTCCTTCCCACAGAGTGGTATCTACATTCTCTGGTATTTCAGTTGTTTACTTCCACTTTGAGATTCCTCTCATCAATGCTTTTGCAACTCTTTTCAACACCAAGTTTCCACTTTTTAGGTTACCAGTCCTGGACTCTATAGCTGTGATAGTGGTCCAATCTCTTTCTGTATGCCTATTCTCCTCTTTGGCTTCTTCCCAGAACTCTATCTCTTATTCATAACACTCCTTGCCAGGTTTTTCTGATTTACCCTCTTTGTCCTGCACAGTCATGATTTCCAGTACTTTGCCTTTTCGTGTACCAGGAATCCATTCCTCTTCAACTTGGAGGTTCCATTTATATCAACCTTAGACATCAGTATTTCACCATGATGTGCCACACCTACATCATCATAAGTTGCTTTTGTCCAATCCCTTGCAAATTTGACAGGATTTTTGTGGGGAACAGTTTGTTTCCTTACTCACTTTTGTCAGCCATCCACCCTTGCACTTTATCAATGCAAATTGTTGGTTTACCATTAATGATCCATTTGACAATTCCTTCAGGCTGTTCAGCTATTCCTCATCCCTTTTTTTATCTGGCTTTTTAAAAATGTTGGCAGTTTATCCATTTCTACTATTGTCAGATACAGATCAGCTTTGTCAATGACCTTCTATCTCTTTCCCCAGCCATTCTCATTTTCCTTTTTTTGATTCTTACAAATCTCTTTCATGGTTTTTTAACCCTATCTTGATGGGTCTTCCTATGGTCAAGGGTCAAAGGGTATGTCATCATGTTTGTAAACTTACATTCAAAATTTTATTGAGTTACTTTTTGAATGTATGTCCATTAGTTTGGTATCAAATTATAATTCAGATGTTAGTATTATACATTATTTTATTTCTTAAGTTAGAATTAAATAGAAAAAAATCCTAAATATTGATTTTTGTATATCACATGGTATTTTGAATGCTGCTTTGGTTCAAATTAGATGTTTGTGATGTCCAAATACAAATTCTTATGAATTAGAAACTCCAATTACCGATATTGACAAGCTAAAATATAAAATAAGAAACTCCTATATTTTCTATTTTCTAATATATTGTTATATTTAGTGAATCAACCAAGGTGGCCTCACTCACCTCTTCCATTTTTGGAAGTACTTGCTTACATACTTCTACTTTGCTCTCTGACGTGTGTATAACCAATTGAAAGCTCAGAATGTTCCCCACTAGGTTTTCTCAGCCTCTGCGAAATGTTTACATGGGAAAACCTTTCTTTTCATGGTAGAATAAAAGCAGAAAGGTAGGAGAATTTGGAGCTTGAAGTATCATATTTTATTAGACTGAAATACAGCTTAGTTAATAAGCCTGATAAATTATAGTGGAAGTCTATGGTATTGGTATAGTAATCTATGATTTTTTGTTATTTCAAAATGTGTATATATAAAACCTAAACAAATTACTTTGTTTTACATCCTCCACATGCAAAATTTCACAAGACTTAACAAAGTTTGTAAGTAGAAGAGTTAATTGTTTTCTATACTTCTTTATTTACTGTTCTATATTTTAAGAAAAATAACTGTTACGCATCTGCTCGTTTGTTAATTTCCGGTATAAATTCTTCCGAGGAACTTCAGTGGTGCAAATCTTTTCTTAAATAAAC